GGTGCACACATTCAGTAAAGACCTTATCTTTATTTGGATCGTTAACTATTTTGGTTTGCTGAGTGGAGAGAACTGGTTGAAAGGCAAACCAGGAAGTGGAACAATCCATCACGCTGAATGTTTTTTAATTAGTTATTTATGTTTATGCATTATTTTTCTTTGTCTCTTCTCCCTCCCGTCCTCGTTTGTGTAGCCTTTGTGCATAAATTCCCATGTGTGTTCATTGTGTGAGGTCAGTTTTTAGTTTGTTATCCTGAGTCATTTCTTAGATACTTTTTACATTTATTTGAGTCAAATTATGTTGAACTATTGTTACACTTAGTTGAGTACATTTTATTGGGTACTTCACTCACCTCTGGTTTCCTGCAGCAAAAGTGATTAATGACTTAGCATTAAGTCAATAATGCTAAGGTATTTTCCTTAGCAAAGATAGGAAAATCTCTGGGGAACTAAAGTGTTAAGACTTACAGATTGGTTTTATTTTTATTTTGCATGTCTAAACATGTTTTACATTTTGGATCTTTTTTTATCAGAGACTATTTAAAATAGCTCATAACTATTCAAATTTACAATTCTCTGTCAGAACAAGTAGAATGTTCCAGACTTTTTGTACAAGTGTGACGCAGCATCCAGTGTGAAACCTTAATTTTATATGTGTGTGCTTGTGGGAAAAAAAATTAAAAAAAAAAAAAAAAAGTAAATATATAATGAGCAAATCTCCTTTAGTCATAAGAAAATGTTAATGTGCTCACTTAGGTTAGCTTTACTAGAACAAAGTAGAAGGCCTCTTAACCTCTTGGAAGATGATTTGTTTTATCTCTGTTCCCAATTTAAAATTATTTTCTCCTTTCCAGAAAGTGATTCCCAAATCCAAAATCCATTTTTCTAATTTCTCAAACTACTTTCAGTTGAAAACACCTCTAACAACCAAGTAAAATACTTTCTAATCTAGACACTAACTTAAATAATCCTCCTTGCTGAAAGAAACACAGTTGTAATCTGAGATTATTTGTATTTTATGCATAAAGTCTTGTTTTTATGAGTACTTATTTTGTCCAAAATAACCTTCATTGTATATAATTTGCTCTTAAAATAAACTCCATTATGAGTATCCGTTATTTACACTATGTCAAGGTAGGACTAATTTCAAACACTGGCAACAGCAATTATTTGATAAATTTTAGATCATGATATTATGATATCAACTGCAAATAGAATAATTAAAATTTAAAAAAAGGTAAGCGACTTACCAGGGGAATTGGTGATGGACGCATGAAAACAACTGAAGTTAATAAGGCCATAGGAGCAAAGGAAGAAATTAGAGATGAGGGCAGCGATGATGTTAAGCTCAGCTGTATTGGCACATGGGAGACAAAAAGACAACATGTAAATTTACACCATCAACCTGTGTAAAATACAACTAATAATTTGCAGAGATATCACATCTCACACACCGATAAGGATGAAGGCTATAGAAATTAAGTAGCAGAGAACATAAGCTCGAAGTGGCTCGTTGTTTTTCCCATAACCTTTCGCAAAGAAAATGATGTAAGGGTATATTTGGTCCTTGCACAGACACTGAAAAACAAAGACAGGAATTCATTTTTTTCCATTGATTACACACAATTTAGTGTCATAAAACTCAGTACTTTTATAGCAGGATGCTGTCTTACCTGAAAGATTTTGGGAGCAGAGACAAGAAAACCCAGGGCAGAAGATAAACTGGCAGCAAAAACACCCGCAGTGATGAGGTAGTAGAAACCGGACAGTTGTCCAAGAACCTGGTTGGAATATTTGAGTAAAATCAACAGGAGACCATTTTGTCCAGCCTGTAAACGACACTTAAGTGAAACAGTCTATGCACAATGATGAGTTTGATAGATACATTGAAGCTGTTGGCGAGTCCATATTGACAGGTCTGCGACTGGCTACACTCTGTGAAGTTCCAACCCAAGTTACACGCCAGTCCCACGCAACCATCCGTGTTGTTTCCCGTAAAGATGTGGCTTTTATTTCCAGAGGCATCCCGAACCACACATGACCCTGGAAAAAAATAAATACTCTGAGTCTGAGTTGAGCTTTCTGGTATTTCGTATCGCATTTTTTGGAAAACTACCGTTTTTTTTTACTACATGGACGGTAAACCAGAAAATGACCTCTTGCATTTTCATTATCTTCAATAGTTTTAATGATAGACAGTTACCATTGGCAAACACTAACTTCAGGAAGCTCAAAGATTTACTGAGCCAATCAATAATTAGACAAGACGAAGGTAGGAATGTGATAAAAGTAACCCACCAACAGTTACTGCTACCCCCAGGTAGCTCAATGTTGTCCAAAAAATAGCCATCAATGTACCCTTTGGGATAGCTGTTGCAGGGTCCTGCGAACAGAAAGCTGATTATCACCTTGCTCCTTGTTGCTCCTTGTTTCAAGCTCATTGAGACTCAAACCTTTAGATCTCCAGAGATGTTGGCCCCGGACAGAATGCCAGTGGTAGCAGGAAAGAAAATGGCGAACATCTGGAAAAAACTGCCTTGGGGCCCCCGATAGTCTGGTGTGAGGTTCTCGACAAAAATATCGCCTGTAGAGAGCGTTGACATCGAGTCAGGAGTTGCTTTTCCAATTACGTCGTCGAATGAAGTGTTTCGTGAAAAAGAGAAGAGTTCTTTACCTCGATATCCGAAGATGCCGGCAGCCTGCTCGTCAACTTTTGGAGGGATTACGGTGCCAACAAAGTAGTTTGCAAAGGACACCATAAGCACTAGGAAGAACAAAATCTGGGCCTGAAAACACAAAGCAAGTTGTTTAAAAACAATGATTAAGTCAAAGAACATTTCATGAACTAAGCCAGTGGTTCCCAAACTGTGGGGCACTCCCCCTAGGGTGGGCGCGGGATGACAAAACAAAAGACAGAAGATAAACGCTATGTGAGAGAGACATTGTGGGGATGGAGGAAGACCATAATAGATAGTCTGTAAGAGTCTCTCTACACCCTCCTTCTCCCATAACAGGGGTATCAAACAGGGAGTCCCCCCCTCCCCCAGTCCACTCCACCCCTGGTACCACATTGTATAACAAGGGGCATCAAACAGGGAGTCTCACCTCCACCTCACCCCCCCTTTTTCTCCTGGGGGGCCCCAGGAGAAAAAGTCTGGGAACCACTGAACAAAGCAAAACAGTGTTACTTTGTCGCACAAAATTTCCCACGGATAGGCTCACCTTGGACTCCCACTCCATTCCAGCCAGTGAAATCATAAGAAGAACCGTGACTGTGATTACGCCTATAATGCGAACGTCATTGACTGAATCCACCATGACGGAACCCAATCCCTAAAATGAGTGACATAATTCTCAAAAAAGCTATGCAACCGTAAATGTGTTCAGTGTATTATGTCTTTCATATAAAAATATGAAATGCGTACTTGTACGCAAGTACAGGTAAGCACTTACATACTTTTCCAAAATGATTTGGAAAATCATTTTCCAAAATATATGCATGAAAAACTTCACAGACATTCTTTTCCCATACACTAAAATCACCTTAAAACATACTCACTAAACTTATAAGTATGATTTTTTTTTCTGTCTGATAAAAACAAGTACTGACACAAGATGAAAGAGATCCACATACGTGCATCAAATCACGAACCACCTCTGCAAAACCAACAGTGTTGAGCGCACAGGCCAGCGCATTTGCAAAGGAGAACACCATTCCAATTGATCCTCCGATTTCAGGACCCAGTGTACGGGAGATCATGAAATACGTACCGCCTGCAAAATGTTTCACACACACGCACATGCACACACACACGCACACACAAAAATGACTATTTTTATGAAAAACTAACAAAACAATACTGAAATAATAAAACACAGTTTACAGCTATAAGATTTGTGTTGCCTCTCAAAATTGTTCCTATCTTTATCAACTTAGTTTGGTTTTTATTTACACTTTGTCACATCAGTCTTTAATGTGTCTTATTGCGATTTTGTGTGATTGAAACATACAAAATAGTGTACAACTGTGAACTGTAAATAAAGTTAAAGATTAGATTTTTTTCTGGTAAAAATCTATCAGAGTAAAGTAGGATGTAAAGTAAAAAAAACATGTTTTATCAGAATGTCAACACTGTAGAAAAAGTCACTGTAGAATTTACAGCAACTTACTGATAGCAGGGTTTCCAGCCAGTTACTGTAATTTTCACAATAAAGAAATTACAGTAACTTTACAGTAAACACACTGTAATTTTTTTTACAGTACCCTTACTGTAATTCTTAGTTTTACTGTGATTTTATTACAGGCTTACTGTAATCTTATTGCTGTTTTGCTGTCATTTCATTAGTTTTACTGTAATTGTTGCAGGTTTACTGATTTTTATTACAATCTTACTGTAATTTGATTAGTTTTACTGTAATTTCTTTAAAATGACTAATGTTAGATCAGAGTATTTTTCACTTTGGTTGCAATACTTTGACTTCTATATACACAAATACTATATTTTTGTTTTTTTCTTCAATTTGTCAAATTTAAATTGACAATAAAATAAAGCAATTTTAAAATATATATGTATATTTTTTAAATAGAAAAATACAACATTTTTTGAGAGTCTGGTAAATTAAATTGTAAGTTAACATTTAAACTTTTAAAAGCTGGCAAAGTATGCAGTTTCATCAACTAATGTAAAATGACAACTTTTTGTAATTCTACTACAGGACTACTGTAATTTTATTATGATAAAAATGTGATAAAATCACAGTAACCATGTTATATAATAACTGATACATTTACCTCACGGTAATATTGCATTGAATACAATGAATTAAATAATCTTTACTAAAAACAAAAGTCCCCTAACATCAAAGTTTCCAAACAAACTGTGTGTTAAAGTCATAAAAACAATGTTTTACCAGCTTCATGTAAAACTTGCAGTCAAAATTCTAAATGTCTATCGTTTTCTTCTTTGAAGAAAGGAAGGGATCCAGCAATGCCAAATATTGAAGGGACATATTTTTCAAAACTTTATTGGAACCCCAACAGTACAACTTAAACATTTGGGCAAGTTTAATACTTAGTGAACACCCAAACAAAACAAACATGAATGAGTTCTGAGTTGATCTCAGTCCTGAACTTCTCCAGAAATCAAAGGGTTACTAGAGGATAAAGAAAGAAAAACACATTTTAATACATGAAATAGACAGCACATTAAACTGCATTTATGTTAAAGACAGATAGGATGAAAAGGAAAGATTTAGTGGACAGACACTCTCTCTGACCTTCCTTCATTGTAGCTGTCCTCCTGTCTGTCTATTAGAAATGGACAGGACAGACAAACAGAGAGAAAGGCAGACAAAAAGACAGACAGGGAGAGAGATGGAGAAAGAGAACTGATTGCGTGTAAATGTGTAATTTTACCATTTTAAAAGCTACACTGGTAGTCCATGAAGGAGGAGAATGGAGACACACGGATTCACTGTTGACCTAGTGTTTTGCATAAGTCGTCCTGTTGTATTTGATGCCACTTTTCCTTTTGCAGCTTTTGTCCTACTTTCTGGGTTGAGGCCTACAAATCGCTTAGAAACAGATGGGAGACTTTTCAAAACTACCCTTTTGTTTTTTTAAGTATGTATTACATTTTTAGATTAGATGCCTGTGAACTACTAAATATGTTACTGAAATAGTTTTTGCCTATAAAAAAATACTCTAGGTGGAAAAAGACGCTGGTGGACCCGCTTGTGCCCTTGATGCCGTTTCCTGAAAAATAATGTTCAGTGACGTTAGTTTTAATTTTGACTTAATGCTCAGGTACAGAGAGACATTTTCATAGACAGATACATCCCTCTGTCTCCATCCATATACTATGTTTGCAGACAGAGACACAGAAAATGTACCTTCTGTGCCTCTATCTGTAAACCTAAGGTTGGCAGATACAGTGATATGGAAATATCTCACTATGTCTTCCATCCATTAGTCTATGGACAAAGGGATGGAAGTTACATTGAGACAGACAATTGGAGTATCTGGGGCGGTTAGACAATTAATCAATATCCATAGTAACTTTGTAAGCTTGAAATATAAATATACACATACACATATAAATACAAAGCTGCAAACCGCTCTTGCTGCACTCCAACAAATTAAAATCCAAGCAATTATCTTGCATTTATAGTGTCCCATACTCAACAGCAACTAAGAGAAATTTACTCCACTACACATGCATACAAGTGGTACCAAATTTGTTCTGGAGCCAACTGATAAGATCTATTTTATTTTCTAGTTCTTGGATGCCCCACCTTTTTCAGATATCACCAAGGACAACTGCCCATGAAGCCCATATCAAAACCCGCCACATGCAAATTCTCAAAAAATGCTTTGTTGTCTCAAACCAACCATGTCTGATGAGTAAGGGTGTATTCAGACCGGATAGTACGGTAGACTCGGTTCAATTGGGGACTAAAATTGCAACATTTGTTACATTTTCAGAACTGTAGTTTGCATTCACACTGCACTGAGTCAAACGACTAAAACTAACTGAAAAACCTGTTCCCCCCGTCACCTGTGGGGGCGCTGCACCAAGAACTACTGAAGGAATCGACACAAAACCTCTGAAGAAGGCCAGCGCAACTTCCTTCTTCACAAAAAGTAAACAAAAACGGAGCAGTGTCAGATTTTAACAGTAGTAGGATTTTGTGGTTCTTGAGAATAGGGACAAAATGGGTTTAAATTTTCCCCAATTTTTTTTATATTATTTCTCAACCCTATATGTGCAAATATGACAAATAATGTTTTGGAAATGTAAAGATGCTAAGGTGCAGGCTCCCAGTTGCAACATTTTTTTAAA